CTGCGTTCTGCCCGGCGCCTCGCTCGCCCGTCGTCGCTCTTCCCAGCGGCAAGAGCCTTGCCCGCTATCAGCCAGCCAGCGAGCTCTCTTTGCTCCGCGCAGTGGACGACCCGCGCGCGTCGCTGGGACCCCTCCGGGGCGACCTGCGCGCGTCGCGGGGGCTCCGCGCTGCGCTGCGCCCGCAGCCTTGGACTTTTGACTGCGCGGGCAAAGAGGGAGTAAAGGAAGGGGAGGAAGCGGGCGCGATCCTCGCGGGGGGGCGCGCCGACATTGGCGTCGCGGCGCGCGGGCGATGCCGTCGGGGAGTCCCGGGGAAACTCCTTGCGGCGGCCACGCCCAGCGTCACGAGTACTCAGAGGCAGTCATTGTCAAACTATTGGCATTCATACACAATTGCACCACGCTTTGTCATATTCGCATTCATGCACGTAGACTCGCTCGCACGCAGATTCATTCACAGTCAGACGCACGCGCGCAGATTCACCCGCGCTCAATCTCCCTACGTACTCAGATCAATCGTTTTCGTTCGCGTTGTGTACCACGCCACTCATGTCGGCACGCCCCTAGCACGGTTCGTTGTCTCATAGGGATCGCCACCGAAAAAGTGAATCACTATTGCGGTACTCACACCTGCATATGGTTGGGTCACTCGTCAGGCTTATTTACTTTTTTGTTTTTTCACCCGAGCGGCGACCAGGCGGCCCCCCGAAGGCCAACAGCCGATGTCTCCCCGCTCAAAATCGCCAGCCCCTGGGCCTCTCGACCCCTTACTGATCGAGCCTCTCAAGTCATGGTAACGATCGGATCAGGTCGGGCATTTCCCCCTACAGGGGGATTTGGGACGAAAGGAAAAAATAGTCAGAACATGCCCCCCAAATACTCAAAAATAGTAGGAAAATAATCTCCCGACTATGTTTTCACTATTTTGGAATATTCCCCCTGTAGAGGGACATGCCCGACTTAATGATAGGATCCGGGATTTAGAGAAAAACGGCCCTGGATTCAGAAAATCCGTTTTTGAATTTAGATAACCGGCTTCTGCGTTTACTCAATGATGGTTTGGCTTGTTTTGCTTCGGCGGCGCAATTTAAGAAATCCGCTTCTGTCTTCGGTAAATCACCGTTTTCGCCACACATTGTTTTAATAATGCGCGTTCATTCATTACCATGGCCTATGTTAGCCGGTGACTTGCCCAGGGGCTGGCTTCTCGTCCTGTGTCGCTTCTCGACGGCACCGGGGGGCCCCGAAGGCGGCCGCTGGAGCACAGCCCGGCTGCCCAACAATGAGGAACGACATATCATTAGAGGACAAAAACCCACCCCCATAATATTCACCCCTCCTCCTTCTTCTTCTCCTCCCCCCTCCTCCCTCCTCCCTCCCCCCGACACGCGAAGTCGTTGAATGAGCGCGCTCAAAAAAATCGAACAGGGTATGGCTGTCCAGTAGACGCCCGGGGCCGTCTCGTAAACGCCGCTTATCGGGTCTGGGTGGTTTTTCCTCCCTTGAGATAAGTAGCGACGCCTCATTTTTGCCTCCGAGCGCCTGCGTGCACGAGGGGAGCTAGAGGAACAGCCACGGAAGGACTCATCATAAGAGGCAGTGGGCCCCTTCCGAACCAAAACTGCTCCTCACTTCAGTGTTCTGCTGGTTCGTAGAGGAACACCAACAAATGGCATGAACACAATTGATCGAAGGTCCGCGCGGATTTCTTGGATCGGCGCTGGACTCCCCTTCCTGGCGCGCGGAACGCGCCATGGGCGGCGCCGGAGGCGCCGCCAGGGGGGCCCAGCGCCGATACAAGAAAACCGCGCGGACTTACGAACAAATTATGTTCATGCACGGTTTTGTTTTGCGATGGAGGCCGAACATGGCGAAACACAGCTCCAGCTCCGGCGCGAACCCGTCAAGCCGCCAGCGGTCTGGGCTTTACGCTTCCAGGCCTCCCCCCTCTGGGGGGACAAACCAATACCGATATCGCTACCCCACAGACCTCTCCCGGGGTGGGCGCTGATCAAGATTCCGAGGCGACTTCAACCGTGGCGACGGGGGAAGGGTAGCGGGCGGTACGGTAGAAGGAAACAATTCGTGGACACTCCCCCGCTCCCCCAAACTCAAAGTTGGCACGCGCGGTGAGGACTGAGTGCAACTCATTCGACCCACCGCCAACATTGACCATTGAGGGGGGCATTGACAGACAGATGAATGCGGCATCCTTCTCCTTGTCCTTCTCCTCCTCCTCCTCCTTCTCCTCCTCCTCCTCCTCCTCCTCCTCTCCTCCTACTCCTCCTACTCCTCCTCGCCCTCCTCCTCCTCCTCCTCGTCCTCCTCCTCCTCCTCCTCCTCCTTTTCCTCCCCTGACCCTCTGCCATTACCACCTTCTGGATCCCTCGCCTCTCGCCGGGAGGCGAGAGGCGAGGGATGGCGCGGGCTCCGTCCTCTCGGGGTGGCGACCGCGGGGCACGCGCCAGGGAGCGCCCTGCGCGTGGACTGCTGCGCGCGGGCCGACGCAGAGGGCGGCGCCGGAGCCAAAAGGGCTGTGGGGAGGCGGCAGCGGCAGTGGCAGCTGTTAGGAGGAGGAGGGGGAGGAGGAGGAGGAGGAGGAGGAGGAGGAGGAGGAGGAGGAAGGAGGAGGGGGAGGGGGAGGGGGAGGGGGAGGGGGAGGGGGAGGAGCAGGAGGGAAGAACAATGACATGATAACATACAAACTCGGAGGTCCGCGTGGACTTCTCGGATCGGCGCTGGACACCCCTCCCTGGCGCGCGGAGCCCGCCAGGGGCGGCGACGGAGGCCGCGCCCGCCCCAGTGGCCGACTCGCGCTGAAGTGCCCGCTGGGCTGTGCCGAGCGGTCCGCGCCACCGCGGCTGCGTCGGTCGCGTCAAAATAGCTGGCCGCTGCGCGCGCGTGCTTGGGCTGGCGCGGCCGCAGAGATGCACCAGCCAGCGCCAAGCACTCATCGCAATCGCCGCCGCATGAGGTCTGCAAAGCAGGTTGCGGGTGGGCGGGTGGGATGCTTGCGCGAGCAGCGGAGTGGACAACTCACTGCGAAGAGAAATTAATTGCACCACGTAGATTGCACGACACGTGTTGCACCATGGATTTTGCACAGCATATTTTGCACACTATTGCGCCAAGTATGTTGCACCACACGTATTGCCAGAAACACACTGTTTAGGGTTCCGCGCTGGCTACTATTATATACACATGTGTGTTTATGATGAGTAGGTGTATACACATATACACATACATATATATATATATACACATACATATGTATTTAGGGTATCTTGGGGTCCTCAGGCAAGCTTCTTCGGGGGGTTCTTGGGGACCTGTGGAGGCTGACTGGGTGCGTGTTGGGAGCCTGTAGACTTTTCACTTTTCGGGGCCCCCGTGCTGCCAACTACTGTCTCCCACAACGATCGGGCCACGATTTGGAGCGGTTTGGGGGGGCGTCCTGGGGCCCTCGTGGGCCGTCATGGGGCTCTCTGTTGGGCCGTCTTGGGTCTCTCTTGAACTTGCTGGATGGTTTAAATTTGAAGGAGTGTTCGGGGCCTCGCGGGCGAGACCGAAGAACCCAATACCCCAGGCAATGTCTTCCTGAGGTCGCCTTCCGATATCTTGTGGGTGCATGGGGCCGCCTTGGGCTCTCGCGGAGCCGTCCGGCCGCCCTCCTGGCCGCAGAGGCCCGGTGTCGAGGCCCGGCCGGGACGTCCAGGAGGCCCGGAAGGCCGACGAGACGTCCTGCAGGAATGTCCAGGGGGCCCGTGGAGGCCGAAATGTGTCTGGAGGGCGAAGTTCGTCTGGGCGGGACCCTCCATGCATTGTGTGAAGGGTCCCGCCCTGTAGCAACGGACGCATCGGACGATCGGATCTGCGATCGCCCCCGCAGTTCCGGACGAGAGTGATGGGGGCGGGGGGATCGTCGGTCTGGTAAGGCTTGAACACACATGCGAAGAAGCCCGTCGCAGGCGCCGCCTGTATATCACATTAGACAACGAGCCTGTCACAACAACGTGGGGGCGGGTCGCGGATGGATCCTCTGCGGGTCGGCGGGCGAATCGCGCGGCGGATCGCGGGTGGGGCCAGGGTGCGGGTGGGCCGCGGGGCGGGTCGCGGGGGCGGGTCGCGGGGCGGGTCGCGGGGCGGGTCGCGGGATGGGCTGCGGAGCGGGGCCAGCAGTGAGAAGCATACGAACAGGACGATCATGAGTCTGCACCGCAGTCCCTACTTCGGCAACGCAAGCAGGGACAGTGTAAGACCGCTCGGCCCCTCACTCCGAGACTGATTTATAACATAGTGGGCATGTACATCTGGTTCGTCTGTGTCTACAGATGATGAGTCTACTAACTGATATAATAATATATGTCTACACATGTGTAAGCACACTGATGTATCAAACTACGCATGCAGTGCAAATCAAGAAAGCCGAACGTCAAGAGGGGGGAAACTCCGCAGCATAAGTGTCCACGGCCCCCTCCCTGGGCCCAAGGCCCCTGGTCCTGGACGTTCCATGGGTCACCCTGAGATGAGACGGTGACCCTCCGGGGGTGCACTCTGTCAAAAAGTCCGAAGGGGGAAATCCAGCTGTGGCGGAGGGAAGCCAACCGGAGGCCCAAAAGTGCCACACACCTCACATGAACCCAGCGCGACCTCAATTAAGGATCTTCTTCCTTTCAGAGGAATTCAAAGCAGTTCGGCGCAATGTGAAGCAATGCGATGCAAAGCGTTGCCTGGCACTGCTTGGCATTACCTTGCATTGCTTCAACCCGCAGCTTGGCATTGCGTTGCGTTGCTTGGAGGCGCTTGACATTGCTTGGAGTTGTCTGGCATTGCTCGGCGTCGCTGGGAATTGGCAGTGCATTGCCTTGTGTTGCTTGGCGTTGCGTGGCATTGTTTCTCGTTGCTTGGCATTGCTTCTCGTTGCTTGGCATTGTTTGCCATTGCTTGGCGCATTTGCATTGCTTGGCGTTGCTTGGCATTGCTTGACATTTCTTGGCATTGCTTGTACGTTACTTGGCATTGATGTGCGTTGCTTAAGCTTGCTTGGAAAATGTTGCTTGGCATTGATTGGCACTGCTTGGTGTTGAATTGACATTGCTATGAGGGATTGCATGGCATTGTCTTGAATTGCTTGGGGCTACCTGGCATTGCTCAGCATTGCTTGGGATCGCTGCTGAGATCGTTGCTCGGCATTGCTTGGCATTTCTTGGCGTTGTTTTGCATTGCTTTGCTTGCTTGGCCCAGCATTGCTTGGCAGTGCTTTGCAATTGCTTTGCCTTGCTTGGCATCGCGAACGCTGCAAGAGGCCGCCTGGGAAACCCATGCCAATCCTGGGCAAACCTGAGAAACCGCTGGGGAACGCATACTGGGAAGGGCCCCGCGTAATAGCCCCATGGGCAAATCCTAATTTGGGAAGCACTTTAATCTTCGAAGGTGCTCCCTGTGCCCTCTGCGACCGACGACCACGTCGACGAACCCCAACTCGGGACGATCCAGGCAACCAGTGTGGCGCAACTCCTGGAAAACATGCCAAGGTTGGGAAACTAACCCCCTGGAACCGACGAAAACGCACGAACGCCTCGAAGCTCGACGTCTACGACGCTCTCCTCCGATGTTGCGATTTCTTCGTGACACGGACACCCAAGGTTGAGCCGGGACCGACCGTTCCAGCATTCCTGCATGAAATGTTCTCCGAAGAAAAGAATGCTCGAACAACAAACATCAGTGTTCTTAGAACATGAAGCCGATGTATAGAAACAAGACGGTCTCATGCAACAGTGCTCTAGTAATGAGACTGCAAATCACAACAGGCTCTTAGAACTTTCTTCGGTGGACCTGTATGCAAGACAAGACGCTTCGCAACTGCTTGACAAGGGATCCCGACCCCTTCCCCAAGGCCGGCTTCTCATCCCGAGCAATTAGTCGAGGGCCACAGGGCTGGCCAGCAAACGGCCTCCACGGCAAAAGACAACGTCCAAACGCCGGCCGTCGCGATTGCTGTGCCGCCCAGATACGAGGTCCTTGTGCGACGACGACGACAGCGGCAGGCTGGGCTCGATCGGATCACGACTCCGGATCGGATGGGGAACGGGTCGGATCGCCAACAGACGGTCGCAACTCGAATCGAACTCGGATCGCCGCGCCCGGCTCTGGCTGGCCGGGGCCGATGCCTGCGAATCGAATTGAACCGAATCGAAACCGCAATCGCGGTCCCAGCTGGCGAATCGAATCGCATCAGATCGGACAATAGGCGGCCGTGCAAAGGGCCTTCTGCGGCGGCTTCAACGTCGCGGCGCCTTGCGGCGGGCCAAGCTGCTGCCCGAGTGCGCCAGCGGGCGGGCAGATCCTGCGCGGGTGGCGGTCGGCAGCGCGGCGGCCGTCGTCCGCCGGCGGCAACGGCGGCGAGGTCGACGTCAACGACGATAGCGGATGTTCTACTCAGAGTGGGCGGGCAGCACGATCTTGCACCGTTCTTGGGTGCGTGGCTGAAGTGGCGTTTTGCCGGGCGGGATTTATTTGAGTGAGCACCTCATCCAAGATGCCGTTTTCTTCATAAGCGTCTGGCGGAGTGAACAGAGACTAGACTGTTGCAAGAAAATCCAATGGCTGTCCTCACGATCAGAATCAAGTTCATCATGCCCTTCTTCATCTCCTTGGTCGCCAATGAAATGTGTGGAAGAACTCATTCTATGAATGCGATGGCCACCTTTTCGTGGGGGTAATGGGCGTTCAACCTTAAGAATCTACTAACCACGTCCGAATCGTAATATCCCTCAGTCCAGTTCTCAACCGTACCCCACGCGGCATCATGTAACTTGGACTCTCTGAGAAACGTAAGCCGGTTTTTCAGCTCGAATGGTGGACAAACGTGCTTCTGGAGTTCTCGGAAAAAACTGTCGCTTAGGGGCGGCATCGTTGACATACATTCATCTCGCTCACACTTCGTATCATCATGATACAACAGCATCTGAAATGTTTTCGCCATCCTGTAGTCTTGGTATTCGGCGAAAGTCTTCTTGCTATGTTTGACCACTGCCTGCCCGCTGTCCTCTTCAGACAACTGTTCCTCGGTGAGTTCGGTGATGATGATCTCGAAGTCGTCCGTAACGTTGCGGTAGATAAGGTATCCATGTTGCCTCTTCAAAATTCGTTGAATCGTGAACCACCTCTGCAGCTCCTTCATGTCGGGATCTAACCGGATGTCAGGATCTTCCCATCCCAGGTGGAGGTACATCGCTTGGTATATTTCGAGCCTCCGGTTGTTCAGGAATTTGCCCCATCGGTCGATCAGAAGATCGGGCAGTGGCGTCTCCCCAGTAGGTCGGGGTGAACGGTGTAGCCGCCCCCCGCAAGGGTGTGCTCAGGCGAGCTGGTCCAGCCGGCGAGCCACGATCCCGCGGGTTCCAACCTGACGAGGATGACTGCACCCGTCCCCTGTGTTCGAACCGCCAGGCCCTGTCATCATCTGACCAGCCCACCTCGTCATCGCCATCCCAGGACACGTTTCCTCGTCCTCCGCCTCCTGCCCATGGATCCTGTCCTGGCTGGAACCAAGGATCATCCGGAAGTTCGTCTTCTGGTGGCTGAGCGCCGGTTTGGCTGAGCGTCGGCTTGGCTTAGCGTCGGCTTGGCCATCCATGCAAACGCTGGGCGAAAGAGTGTGGGAAGCGGGAATAACGGGAGAAGTAATGGTATTGAGTCACCCGGAAAGCGGGTGGCGGGAGGAGTCGGCCTAACTTCCCTTGTGGCTCGAAAAGGCTGTGGCTCCGCTGTCGCTGTGGAATGCACGGGGGTAACTCTCTGGAACATATGGAGAGACGCCAAGTACAAGTACGGCGACCCATGCTAAGAGAAAGAGAGAGAGAGAGAGAGAGAGAGAGAGAGAGAGAGAGAAAGAGAGAAAAAGAGAGAGAGAGAGAGAGAGAGAGAGAGAGAGAGAAAAAAAAAGAAAGGGGGACAAAAACAACAAAAGAGGAACACAAAGAGAAACAACACGCTCTCTTTCTTTATTTTTACTGGGTCTCGCGCGCGCCCCCGGCCAGCGCGCCAAGCAACCCAAGGGCCCTGCGAGCCAGAGCAGCGGCGGGGCAAAGGAGGCGAGACAGAGGCGCAGGAGGAAGAGAGGCTGAAATATGCATAACAACCGCAGGAGGAGGAGGAGGAGGAGGAGGAGGAGGAGGAGGAGGAGGAGGAGGAGGAAAATGATATCATGACGTTTTCTGGAGCGCGAGGGCGCCGTTTGACCAGCAAGCAGCGCCTCGCGGGACCTTATGCGAGGTCGATGGCCAGGCCGCGCGACGCAGCGTCGAGCCTCCGCCTGCGCCTCGGCGCCGCCCTCCCATGGCGGGGCGGGCCGCGCCGCTGCCGTGGGGGCCGCCGCCTCGCCCTCCCCGTCGCTGCGCGGGGGCGAGGGGCTCGGCGGTGGCGGCGAGGAGGGCTGCGGGATGGACCCAGCCATCTCTTCCTCGCTGCTGGGCCCAGCAGCGCCCGCGGGCGGCCTCGCCGCTGCGCCGGCGGCGCCAGGCTGGCCAACGGCCGCCTCCCCCGCAGGGTCGCCGTCGCACTTGCTCTGGGCCCCGAGCCTGCGGCGGCCGCGCCAGCGCCCTGCGCTCGTGGCCTTCTGCGCTCGCCAGGCGCCCGGCCAATCCTTGGCGCGCCTGGGGGGCGCCCGAGGTCGGCCAGCCACTGGCGAGGGGCCACCGTCTCGCACCTCCGCGTGGAGTCGGCCATCCGCGCATGGGAGAAACGCAGGCTGCGGCGGCAACGCATGAACGCCCTTCGGTTGGCCCCGCCGCGCGCCCATGCCTTGTCGCGCATCTCGCGGGCCAGCTGCGACGCGCGCGTGGACGCGCGTCGCCGCGGCTGGCCCAGCGCGCCCTCGGCGCACGGCGCGCAATGCTGCCGCCAATCGTCCGCCAGCTGCTCCTCCGTGAGGGCGGCCTCGATCCACCGGCGCGACCGCCTCGCGAGCCTCCTCGGCGCGGCGGTGGGCCTGGGAGGACCTCGCGGCAGCGGCTCCCTGGGCTGCCTCATTGGCCACCACCTCAGCGGGCCTGCGGCTGCAGATGGCGAAGCGCGCCTGAGGCTTCGGCCTTCCCTGCCACAGGGGTACCACGCAGCGCGCTGCTCAGGCGGCCGCGCCGCGGCTGGCCTCGCGCCCCCCGATGCGCTGCCGCAGCTGCGCGGGGCGTGCCTGCCGCGGGAGGCCGCGAGGCCGCTCCGCTGCTGCGCGCGCGACTGCCGCTGCAAGCAGCCTGCCAGCCTCGCGCGCGCGCGCTGATGCCGACGGCCGAGGCGGCGGCCGTGGCAGCGGGAGCCCAGCGCTAGGCCGCGCCTGCAGCTCACCGTCGCCTCCACGTAGCACAGTGGCGTCCGCGGCCCCCGCGATGCCGCCCAACTCCTGCGGTTCGTCGATGCCGCGCTCGCTGATGCCACTGTCAACTGATGCAGGATCCGCGGTTCACGTCGGCCGCGCCCCGCCCCGCGCGCCGTCTACCTCTCGAGTGTTCCTGGGGGCAGGGCCTAGCGAAACATTCGGCGACTGAGCCCAGTCCGTCGAACCGTGCGCCGCTTGGGCGCGCCTGGAGGCTGGGACTTGCGTTCTAACACCTGCTGCCTCATGCTCCGTGACGGCGTAGGGCTTTGACGAGAGCCGCCTTGGGGTCAGCGGTTCGTGCGAGGATAAGCCGATCTCCCGCGCGGATCGACCCGCGGCCCCCGCCGTCCGCCCCTGCAGCGCGCTGCCGCTGCCGCTGGACTCGCTGGCCGCGCGCGCAGCTGCCGCCCCCGGCGGCCCGCTAGCCTCGCGCGCGCGCAGCGGCCGGTGGCCGCGGCGGCGCCTGCGGTGGCGGGTGCGCCGCGCTAGGCTGCGCCTCCAGCGCGCCCTCGCCCCCGCGTCGGACCTCAGCGCCCTGGGCGCCTCGCGAGCCCTCGAGCGACCGCCGCAAGGTAGACGCCCGCGAGTCTCCGGCCCACCTCGCCGAGGCTCGGGCTCGCCGCGATTCGGTCATGGCCCTGCTGGGCCTGCCTCTCGCGACAATCCCCCCTGCTGACGTGCTGGCGGGGCCCGCTGGCCGCGCTGCCGCTGCCGCCAGACTCGCCGTCGGTCGCCATGTCCTGGGGCTCTGCCGCGGGGCTGCGGCGCCCCCGAACGGCGGGGCCCAGCGCCCTCAGCAGCTTGTCCCGCCTGGCGCACAGGTTGGAGACGTAGGTGCGTGCGTTGCGATCTCTGCTCCGCGGCGGGCCATGGCAGGGGCGCTGCAGACCGCGCGCAGCCCGCGTCTGCATCCATGCCGCGCACGCCTCGCAGAGGACTGTGGGTCCAGCACGCCGCGGCCGATGGCTCTCGTGAGCCAGCGCGTCCTCCTCGGCGTCGCACTACTGGTTGCCGCCCAGCGGCGGGGCGCCCCCGTCGCCCTCGGCCCCCTGCGTCGCCGCGACCGCCCGAGCCCCCGCCTCCAAGGCCGCGCGCGCCTGGGCCCCGAAGCGGAGGATCGCGGCCCCTGCCTTGATGCGCGCTAGCACAGGCGGCTCGCATGCTGCCCCGAGGAACTGCTGCAGCGCAGCGCCGGACCGCGCCCGCGAGCGCCTGCCGCGCCCCCTGCGTAGCAGCCCACGACGGCCACCCACGTCCACCAGCACGTGCTCCACATCCGTCACGCGTGGGGCTGGTCCTGCAGGCGGCGGCGCCGCCCTTGCAGGCTGCTGCCGCCCGCCGATCTGGAGGCGGCGCTGCGTGGCCCACCCGATGCAGGCCGCAACCTTCTTGTGGCGTTGCACCCCGATCCCGCGGACGTCCACGTAGACCTGGGCCACCGCGCGCTGCGTCGTCCCTTGCTTGGCGAACCGGTCCGCCCGCGTGTTGCCCGCGTAGAACATCGGGTGGAGGTCCAACTCGGCGTAGACCTGGACGTCCTTGTGGGCTGGGGTCCAGAACGCGTTGGGGCGGTTTGGCTGGCGGCGTAGACGCCTCCACGCCGCGGCGTGCGCGGCGCCCGCCAGCTCGAGCTCCTCGCCCCACGAGTCCGCCTCTCGCGCCATCGCCAGCAGGTCCATGGCGACGAACTCCACCTGCGCCCCGAAGAGGTGCACTGCCCGCAGGAGCACGTGCCGCTCGGCGCGCCCCGCGGTCTGGGGCGGGCCAGGCAGCGCGCCGAAGGCCGCGCGCACTGGGACCCGATTGGCTCCCAACTGCACCACCGACCACCCGTGGCGCCTCAGCTCGGGCATGCTGCTGGCGAGCCCCGAGCCGTCTGAAAACGCGATGTTCCCGCGCCGCCCCGCCGCTTGCCCCTGCCGGTCGCCCAGCAGCCTGACGTGGGCCTCATGCGACGCTGGCGGCACGCGCGGCGGCATGATTGGAAGCCCGACCTCCTGCCCCAGCTGCAAGCCCTTGTCTCGCATGCTCGTCCAGGCATCCTGGGGCCTCTCGGGCAAGGCGGTCTGTTCCTCTTCGCCATGCCGCGCCAGGAGCAAAGCCTCGCACCCATAGAGCCTGTGCCCAGGGGTGTCGGCCTCCTCCCCGCAGCCCAGGCACATCGCAGAGTCCGCGTGGCGCACATCGTGGAGCCGCTGCCTGGTCCACGGCGTGCCTGCCCAGTGAATCCTCAACCTGGTGGCGGCAGGGCCTTCGGGAAGCTCCGCGCCCTTGCCGCCAACCCATAGGCGCAGCACTCGGAGCCAGAGCGGCCCTGTTGGCTGCATCTCCGCAAGCTGCCCCATTATCCGTCGGGCCTGCCAGCGGCCCACCCCCGCGAACAGGAAGGCCTTGAGGTCCGACGGCGGTGTTGTGAGCAACTGGATATGCTGCCCCTCGTCCGTGACCAGTGCTGTGCTGGGCCAGATGTACCAGCCGATCCTCCATAGCGTGAGTCGTGGATGAGATCGGTCCCCCGGCCGACGCCCACGACGGTCGCTCAATCAACTTCTCCGTGATGGTGGCCCACGCCCGCTGAAGCCGTCCCAAGGAAGTGCGCCGCTCCCAGATCCAGCTCGCATACCTGACCTCGAGCGTCATCGTCGCTTCGTAGATGGGGTCGTCGGTGGCGCAGCGCTGGGTGGCCAGGCAGGCCGTGGACCCCGCAGGGCCTGGGCACGCGCCCGCACGCCGACTGGCCTCGGCCCTCACTCGCCGCAACTCGTCGTCCGAAATCCCCGTGGCCCCCGCTCCGTGGCCTGCGCTGGAAAGCAGCCCTGTGCGCCGCAGGCAGGCCACCTTGCGTCCTGCTGCGCGCTGCAGCGCGGCAGTCCGCCCTCGGCGCCTCGCCAGCGCCTGCGGGCGAAGCCTGGTCTGCCGCCGCTCGATCCTGCGGCCTCCGAGGTCGTGGCCCAGGTTCCACGCCCACCGCACCCGCTGCAAGCCCCATCGAGCCCGCGTGCCGCTTGCTAACGCGCGCGGGGCATGCCGAGGACGTCAGGAAGCCCGGCTTGGCTTGCTGCACAATGGTGCCAAACGCCTTGGCCTCCTCACGGAAGTGGGTGACGGCGGCCCACAGCGGCTGGATGCTGCGGCCCGCCTCGCCGACCCACGGCAGCGTGACGTCGTCCACCAGCGCCCTCGGCGTGACCCCCATGCCGCGGTTCCGCTCCAGCAGGCGATGCACCAACACGGACACCAGCGCGCACGCATGCGTGCATCCCGCCAGCACACCCTGGCCCGAGACCACCTCGCAAGAGACAGACCCGAACGCGTGCAGCCTCCGAGGAGGAGGAGGAGGGAGGAAGGAGGAGGAGGAGGAGGAGGAGGAGGAGGAGAAGGAAGAGGAGGAGAAGGAGGATGGGGACGGCAACGGCGGCGGCAGCCACGGTTTCGAAGGCGGCGCGGGGGAGGAAGCTTCGGAGAGAGATGAGGATGTTTCTGGATGCTGTTGCCGCTCTTTCTCGGTGGAGGTGGGGGGACGGGCATTGATGAGGAGGAATGATGAGGAGGCAGAGTAGGGGTGAAGATGCTCGATGGTCGTCGGGGTGTCTGGAAGGATGAGAACGCTCCTGGATCCTGCTGCTCCTTCTACAACAGCCCCTTCCAACAAAGCTGAGTCACGTTCCACCACTCGTACACCCTCGATACCACAGCGCAGCCGAATTGTGTTAGATGGCATTCGATGTAGCGGGGGGGGAGGAGGCAACCTGAGAGACGATCGCCCCCCCCCAGGATTCACAATCCGACCAGACGGTGACAAAGCGGCACGCCATATCGAACACAGCTGGAATTCAGAGTTCCAGATTCTCCAGTTATATATAGCCTTCACGATCTCAAGCTCTGAGCTCTGAAGCTCTCCTGGGTGGAGAGCTGCGAGCGGACACACCTCGCCGCCAGCCTCGCGAGCAAGAGCAGAGTCAAGGCGTGGTCCTCTCCAGCGCGCTGGCCGCGCGCTCGCGCACGAGGAGCATCTCGCAGAACCGGCCGTGGCCCCTGCCCTCGGGGGGGAGGAGCGTCGGGAAGCAGCTCTAAGACGAAGCCGGAACGAGGAGGCACGAGGGCGAAGACAATTGGGGAATCTCTGAGATCCTGCGGCTCTGAAGGATGCCTCGGGCGCCGCGGCCATCTCGGAGCGCTCCAGGACGAGCCGGGAGCGTTCCAGCACGCTCTGGAGCGGATTTACCCTCGTCTCAGTCCCGTCTCACGGGGTTCTCTTCGTAAGATCGAGCAGGGGCTATTATCGGGGGCGGCCATGATGGGGACGTCCAGTAGGGGGGGTCGCAAATCATGGCCAGCTGCGTGTGAGCGTCCCAAGGGGGGGGATCCGGGGACGCAATGAAATACGAAGAGACGCCATGACATCTGGGGAGATCTCATTGCCTCCGCTATGGTATCCCCCTCCCTAGATATCACCGCCCTCATGGCCGCCCCCGATATTGAGCTCGAGTAGGGGGCCAGGAAGCTGGATTAGCCCAGGTCACACCCAATGTTTCGCCCGATTCGGCCATCGTGGGGCAGGATTAAGCGGGGTGAGTCTGGACTATGCCGGGTGAGGCTGGTTTTGGCCACGGATATTCCAGAGCCGATGCTGAATCTAACGTCCCAGGAGTTACATCTTGAGAGGCGGGCGAACAAGCTTCACAAGAAATCAGTGCCACATAAATGGCCTGCACATCTCGAACTGCTTTCAATCGTTGGCCCCGCTCGCGGGGAGGGCCACCCAAAGCTCCTCCAGCCTCTGCGAACTGCGGGGGCGCTCTGGAGAAGAGCCCCGAGAGGCATCCATGTGAGACGCCGCAGTCTTCGGCGGAGGCTCTGCGCTGTAGCCTCTTGGGGTGGAGGCTCGTGGCCGTCGCCCCTTCCCCGTTGCCCACGAACATCTCCCTCTCTCCTCCCTCTCCGGCCTCAGGATGGGGTCTTCTCTGGAGTCCCCCGTCAGCTATGACGCTATGACACTATGTGAGGGGTTGGGGGGGGGCTCGTATGTCAGATGTGGCGCGATCGCGCCTAGCTTGCCGCCCCCCCCCTCTCATTTCCACTGCTCCCCTTGGCCTCGGATAGCACCTGCTGGAGTCGGCCTGGCAGGTGGGTACGCGCCTTGGGCCAGGAGCCACTGGGACCAGTCGGGGATGGTGGTGGCTTTCTCGTGGCCAGAGAAGACTAGTTCTCGCCGCTGGCAGCACCTCATGGCCCGCGGGGCTGGTTGGGCTCGTCGGGGCTCGTTAAGCTACTCTGGGTTACTCGGGACTCGTGGCGTTTACCAGCATTGTTCGCGGAACAGGGCCTGTAGGCCAGGCCTGGCGGGGCTAGTCGGGGCGAGCCAAAATTGTCGGCAGACCTGGACAATGGGGCTGATCGGAGCTAGTGGCACCACACGAGCGCTATCAGCGTACTAATGCGACAGGCTAGTCAGGGCTGATGGCAAACGTGAGCGTTGCCTACAAAACAAAGTAACCGAGGAGGTGTCTCTAGTCGGAGCAACTCGGTTCCAGTCTTATTCAGAGGGGCACGCATCACCGGGTTACCAGGTCAGCTGACGCATGTCCAGGTCAGCCAGGTCACTGGGCCAGCCAAGTGGACCACACTACCCGGCAACCATGTCACTACATTGGCCAACTGACCCACCTTCCGGACCACTGGGCACCAGGTCAGCTAATCCAAGCCACCGTGGGTAACTGGGCCACTGGGTCAACTGACCCACGCCACTAGGTAAGCTGGGTAATCAAACTCAGTTGACACACGCCCAGGTCACCAAGTCACTGGGTCACACACCACTGCATGTGTCATCGTGTCACCAAGTCTCCCACCACCAAATCATCGGGTCAACTGACGGGTCACAGGCTACCGGGTCACCAAACCTACGCCGCAAGGACACACTGGGTCACCGTGTCACGGGACCAAGGAACACCTGGCCAACCCCGGTTGGCCACTGGGTAACGTCACCGTGTTACCAAGTCACGCTGACCCACACAGCTAGAGGCCTCCTAGATGTTGTCCAAGTAGATGAGGTCGAAGGATCTCGCCGCATCGCCGATGCATCGCCGATGCTGCATTGGCCATGCACCGGCGACGTCGGCGGTACATCTGCGACGTCGGCGTGGGGAAAATTGGGCCCCACAACGAGCCGCATCGCCGATGCATCTCCTCCTCCTCCTCCTCCTCCTCCTCTGCCTCCTCCTCCTCCTCCTCCTCCCTCCTCCTCCTTCCCCTCCTCCTCCCCCTCCTCCTCCTCCCCCTCCCCCTCCTCCTCCCCCTCCCCCTCCTCCTCCCCCGCGGTCGCCTGCGCTCTTCCACTCGCCCCCGTGCGCCCGGCGCCCAGCGCGGCCCGCCGGCTCTGCAGCCGCGCTCACGTCCGCCGGAAGCCGGCCACAACAGAAGCATGCTTCGCGGTCCGCTGCCCACGTCTGCCGACCCCGCGGCCGGGATCAGGGCTGCACCCAAACGGTGTTTTTCGTTTTCGTGTTGTTTTCGTTCTCCCTCGTTCTGTCTTGCCTTCGTTTTCGGCTTCGTTTTGCTTTCGTTTTGCCTCGTTTTCGCTTCTGTTTCCTTCGTTTTCGATTTGTTTCGTCTTCGTTTTCCCGCAAAACGGAGTCGGAACGAAAACGGCCCACGAAATCGCCAAAACACCGTTTAGGTTCAGCCCTGGCTGGGATCGCATCTTCGTCCGAGATTCGTCTTGGACGGTCCCCAGGGCTCAGAACGGCCCACGGAGGACGAAATTAGGGAAAGCCGCCAGAATTGGAATAGTCGATCCGCAGGACGTCAAGGGCTGCCGCGCGCACTCGCACCGAGCTCTCGGCAGCAAAGGGGCCTGCTTCTGGCAGACCCCGCAGCAGTAGCCGCCGATGTCCTGGGACCGGTGGGCCGCGAAGAAGCAGCCGGGGCGGGCACAGCCCACGAGGTTCGCCTCGTCCTTCGTGGGGCAAGCGGGAGAACTCGGGCCTCTCAAACTGGAGCCGGAGCAGATGGGACCAGAGAAGCGCGCCGCATCGTCGATGCCTTTGGCGATTGCGGGATGGAGAGCGTGCTTCAGGTCGCGCCAAGTCGCCGATGCATCGGCGCAGTCTTCCGCCCCCATCTGCTCTGGCCCCGTCTGGGAGGGCAGGATGCAGGAGGAGCAGGCCCCGTGCCACGAGGCGCCGGCAACAAGAACGCACGACGGGCGCGAATGTCCCGCCCGACAGGCTGGGGCCGCAGCTGCCAGGCTCAGAGAATAGCCGAGTGTCCCTGAGGGTCCCGCCCCTCCGGCCCACACCGCGCCGTCGGGCCCAAGGAATTCCCGCGTGTCCCTGAGAATCGGCCGCTGGGCCGAAAAGATCCCCGAGCGTCCCTGAGGATCCTGCCTCGCCGAGCCCCGCAATGGAGGCGTCACAGCGTCACGCCGTACAGGCTCCACGATGTCACGCCGCCCAGATGAAAATAATGAACAACAAGACCATGAATCACCAACATAGATCTCAATCATCAAGAACAATCAACACGGACAGGAATCACTCACAGACGTCAGTTGCACTTATCGATCACATGCACCAAGCGCACACATCAGGAACATACACCACATGGCATACAAACAGTTTGACATAACACGCAAGCAACCACACTAGACATAGCACGCACACACACACGTCCAACACATCCACCAATACCATACATCAGCAGCACGTGTCAAACCATTGGTGCACATGGACTACGTCAACACCACGCATCGACAACATACACACTTAGCAAAAAGCTTCGCTCCATACCCCTAGTAAGCAACTTCACACACAAGACACACGTCAACCACATGTACCTCTAACGTGCACCTAAATGGTATTGCTGACAATTCAGCAATGTTGTGCATCACGACCGTGCATCAAAACCTCACAACAAAAACGGGCATCACGACCACTCATCGAGAACAAACAACACTAAACAATTAAATAACAAGTTTGAACGCCATGCGTCGATAACAAGCGTTTAGAACAGGCACAACCAGCATAACACCGAAAACACACACGCACCAATCACGTGCGTCTGGTGTGCACACCAGCACCCACCAACACTAACCATCAACACCACCCATCAATCACAAGCTTCTGACCTGTACGCCACTAACACACGCACCAACCACATACATCAAAGGCACACGCATAATACGCAACATGCGCATCTCCCAATGGCGTCTGCCAGTGGCACTCACCAGGACATTCACCACGCCCAAACTGAACACAACGTGATTCACGACCGCACCTGAAGAGCATACGTCAATCACACACGTAAGCCGAGGCTGCGCACCGACACACCAAATCTAGATCATGCGCTCGCAGCAGACAGCGCGAGCTCTGAGCAATGCCACCAACTTGTAGACAACATGCACAGACATAGCATATGCGAGATCGCAACCCGGGCATACACAAAGAACGCTGGGAGGAAACACCACAACACACACATATCACACATGTCCGCCACAGTGGCGTGTCTCGAGCTACCTGCATTGAGTTTGGAACCATGTAAACGTTCTTTGAAGGGTTATCGGCCCCGAATTTCGGGCGCGTTTGGACGCAGGGCGGAAAGACTACCCAAGAGAGTCCTCAGAGGCCCAAGGCGGTCCGAG